CCGGCCCCGCCCCCCCCCCCGCCCCCCGCCCCTCCTCTCTCTCTCTCTCCCCTGGCTGTCCTTGGGTCTCCTGGTTCTTCCCAGGTGCGTGGATCCCCTCTTCTCCCCTCCCTGGTGGTTGGGAAAGGAGTTACTTCTGCTTGCTGTGGGTATTCCTTAGGAATTCCCCTCAGATCAGCAGGCAGGGCAGGTTGCATCGCAGGTGGTGGGGGCTTGTTAGCCGTGTGGGCCTAACTGGCGGATAAGCTCAGCTCCAAAACACATCCTCCTTTTGAAAGCATCCATGAAGGCCCTCTAGAGGCATGGGACTGAATCCCGCAACCCACTCCTCTTTGTCTCCTTCACCCACCAGAATGAAGCCTCGGTGGCCTAAGGGGCCTGCGTTCCCTCCTCTTTCTGACCATTTGTCACACCTGGTTCCTGTTCCTCAGGGCACACTTCGCATTCCCACTTCCGTCTCACTCTTACATTCGCCTTTCTTTCCCTTAGTTTTCTGTCTCTCCTCTTTCATTTGGGAAACTTTGGCCCTATAGGAGATTCCCTCTTTGAAGGGCATAGATTCCCAGTTCCTCTGTGGACCTTACTCTTCCCTTAGGCTTAAGAGGCTCAAATTCCCCCTTTACTTCACCCCTCCCACCAAGCCAGGTCTCTCTTCCCTCCTCTGGTGACCAGAACCTTTATAAGCGTGTGTGGGGTGCATGTGGGTTTATGGAGGGGAGGGGAGCAGAGTGAGGCCTAATGGGCCAGGTAGAGCCTGGCGACTTAGGGCTGAGGCCTTCCCCACAGGGTGAGGAGGGGCCCCCCAGCCTGGAGTACATCCAAGCCAAGGATCTGTTCCCCCCAAAGGAACTAGTGAAAGAGGAGGAGAATCTGCAGGTAAGGAAGAGCTGGGGGCCCAGGGTGGGTAGAGTTCTCTGCCTGATTAACCCCCCTGCCCAGTCTCTCCAAGGGGATCTTGTCTGGGAGCTCTGGCTTCCTGCTCCTCCGTCTCTGGAGGAAGGGGAGTCTGTCCGGGCATTATGGAGCCTTTGGCCCCAGGGAAGGAAAGGCAGCTTTCCTGGGTAGCTGTTGCCTGGTGCCGTTACTGTGAACACGCTTGTCCTGCCTTGGCCCAGCCTTTCCAGAGGGGATCCTACAGCTCAGGGATTGGGGAGGGGAATGGAGGGGTGACTCACTTCTGGACTGAGGGTCCCTCTGCCCCTCGGCAGGTGCCCTTCACAGTGCTGCAGGGTGAGGGAGTGGAGTTCCTGGGCCGCGCGGCCGATGCCCTGATTGCCATCTCCAACTACCGGCTGCACATCAAGTTCAAGGACTCTGTCATCAACGTGAGTTCCTGTCCTGTTCTCCCACACCCCAGCCAGAATTCCTGTGAAGTTCAAGGTGGGATTGCTCCAGTTCTCTACTCGATCATGTCTTCAAAGAGTTGGGGTTCCTTTCTTTTTCATACTAACTTTCTTCTAGCTGCCGGTCTTTCTGTCTCTCTCACTTGTTTTCCCTCCCCTCTCCTCTCTTTCCCTCACTCTGTCGCTGGCCCTTCTAGGGGCAGCACCGTGGCTTTGTTGGAAGAGTGCCACTTAGCAACTGTGTGACCTTGGTCAAGTCACCCAGCTGAGGTACCATTTCCTCATTAATAATATGGTGTGAAAACACCTGTCTAGTGGTTTCTTGCGCCTATTAATTGGGGTCACATATATAGGGGACCCAGCACAGTTACCTTGCACCTAGCAGGCCCTCAGTAAGTGTCAGTTTCCTTCCTTCTGTTGATAACCTCAGCATCTGGGTCGGGGTGGGGATGAGGCATGATGTGAGCTTGGGGGTCTGAGCTTCAGTCTGCTCTTCCTCTTAAGGTCCCGCTCCGGATGATCGACAGTGTGGAGAGCCGTGATATGTTCCAGTTGCACATCACCTGCAAGGACTCCAAAGTGGTGAGGTGAGCACAGCGGGGCCTTGCTCAGGTCCTCTGGCCCTAGTCTTTTCCAGGCTTCTCTGCTGCGGGGTTTCTCTGGAGCAAGAAAGAAAAAATAGTGCCTCTCTTTCCCCTGTTTGGAAGAAAAAGAGGTCAATTTTCTCACCTACCCACAGTGTCCTGACCTAAAGAAATGGTGATGATGCTCTCGGGGTTGGCGTGAAGATTAAATGAGATGCGTCTGGGAGCGCCGAGGGTGGTGTCTGGCAGCGCCGAGGGTGGTGTCTGGCACAGAGCACTCACATCATTGTTGGTTCATTTATTTATTCATTTAACACGAATTTATCAAGCACTGTACTCTATGTCGGACTGTTCTAAGCACTGGGGAGACACCAGGGAACAAACTTTTCTGCCCTCGTGAAGCTTATATTCTAATGGGAAGAGAACAGCAGTAAATAATGAGTAAGATATGTTAAATGTAATGTAAAGGTGAAAAATAAAGCAGGGAAAGGGGATATGGAATGCTGTGAGGGTGAAGGTTGTAGCTTTAAATGAAGCGATCAGAGAATGCTGCACCGAAAAGGTGACATTTGAGTCCAGACTTAAAGAAAGTGACCATGTAGGTATTTTGGGGAAGAATGTGCCAGACAGAGGGAACAGTGCGTGCAAAGACCCTGCAGTGGGTATATACCTGGCATAGTAGAAGAATGGCAAGGAGGCCACGGTGGCTAGAGTGGAGTGTCTGTGTTTCAGGGTAGCAGGGTACAAGATCCGAGAGGTAAGGGGGGTGTCCGGCTGTCATATGACTGGCTTTTACTTTGAGGGAAGTGAGAAAACCACTGGAGGGTTTTGAGCAAAGGATTGATGTGGTCTGACTGTTTTATAGAATCACTCTGGCCGCTATATTGAGAATAGATGGAAGAAGGATAGGGGCAAAAGCCAGGGCTGAAGCTGGGAGACTAACTGAGAAGCTTGTCCAGGGTGGGAGCAGTCAAAGTGGTGAGAAGCCGTCAAGTTTTTGAAGGTAGAGATGATAGGATTTGCAGACTGGATACGAAAGAAGGAGGAGTCTGGGATGACTCCAGGGATTATTAAAAGGATGCCCAGTTTAAAGTCTGCTGTGCACTCAGGTCTGTAGGCATTCAGAACAAGAATCCAAATTCCCTTCCCTTCAAGGAGGTTAAAGTCCAGTTGCTGAAGGAAGACTTTACACGTGGCAACGTGCTATGGGAAAACTTACTGTTTAATACTTCAGGCACGTTAAGAATGACAGAGGAAGGAGTCTGTGGAATGGATTAGGCTGGGAAGGCTTCAAGGAGGAGGTGGGACTGAAACTGTCTTCAGAGTATCAGTAGGAAGTGGCGAGGCTGAGAGGAGACATTATTAAGCAGAAGTGAAAAAACAGGGAGACAGGAATGACGTGAGTGGGACTTCCTGCCTGAAACAGAAGGTTCGTGCTAGTGAGTCGTGGGAGATAACACAGGGGTAGCAGACATTCAGGCCATGTGGCAGTGTTCAGATTTGAGGGCAGAAATGGTTGGGCCCCATTAGAAGGTGTACATACATCTCAAGGACAAGAGTTCTTGGGAAGAGAAGTGTCACCTAGGTGTTGTGTCCCAGGTCCCTCCCAGGGGCCCCTCCCACTTTGCAGCCTCCTCTCCTCACAGCCGCCTTGTGACTGGGTTTCGGATCCTTACGGCCCCAGCACACACTTGTCTCTTGCCTCACTCCATGGCTTCCTGTCTGGCAGGTGCCACTTCTCCACTTTCAAGCAGTGCCAAGAGTGGCTCTCGCGGCTAAGCCGGGCCACGGCGAGACCTGCCAAGCCTGAGGACCTCTTTGCCTTTGCCTACCATGCCTGGTGCCTGGGGCTGACCGAGGAGGACCAGCACACCCACCTGTGTCAGCCAGGTGAGGCCAGGCTGTTTTCTTTAGGAGGCTGCTTCTCTCTTGCTTCTCATCTCTCTTCCACCCTGGACATGGTGTCCTGGGACACTGACCGGCGTGACATGGTGTCCTGAGACACTGACCAGCGTGGGGGCTTTGTTGCAGGAGAGCACATCCGATGTCGGCAGGAGGCTGAGCTCGCGAGGATGGGCTTTGACCTGCAGAACGTCTGGAGAGTCTCGCACATCAACAGCAACTACAAGTGAGAGGGCAGGGGGTGGGGAGCCCAAACACCAGGCCGGACCCGGACGTCCTCCACATGGGGACCGAGCACAGTGGGCGCAGCCCCTGGCTCTGTGAGGAAGGAGGGCTCCTGGTCCCTCTTCCCACAAAGCCATCCCTGGGGATCTTGTTATCACATGTCTTTGAGCAAGCTTGGTGACCCCATCTGCTCTCTTCTCAGACTGTGTCCCAGTTACCCCCAGAAGCTGCTGGTTCCCGTGTGGATCACAGATAAAGAGCTGGAGAACGTGGCTTCCTTCCGCTCCTGGAAGCGGATCCCCGTGGTGGTGTATAGGTGAGGCAGTGGGGAACGGGAGGGAGGGAATCAATTTTTATGCAAGGAGGAGAGTCAAAAGTGGAGGTGTGCGGCAGCATGGTTAACTGGGAATTGATACTCTTGAGGGAAGTGGCTATGAAATAATTTTAAAACAAAAACTACCTCCATTTTTTTCCCCTAAGGACAAGGCTTTTGGGGCCTTTATTTATTTTTCTTTTCTTTTCTTCTTTTTTTTTTTTTTGTTGAGGGGGTGTGTGTGTGTGCTAACTATTGCATTAGAATAGGGGTTGGCAAACCTTGGCCTGTGAACCAAATCTGTCCTGTTGCCTGTTTTACATACAGCCTGTGAGCTGTAAAAGGGTTTTACATTTTTAAGAGGTTATTTTTAAAAAGAAAACTTAGAAGAATGTGTGGCAGAGGCTGGCTATGACTCCCAAAGCCAAAAAATTTATTGGTTGGTTCTTCACCAAGAGCGTTTGCCGACCCCTGTGCTAGAATGCAGCAGCAAACAGTGAGGCGGGTAGTAGCAGTGAGGTTTGAATTGTTCACAATCTGGGCTCGGGCTTGTTCTCTTGCTGGGTGTCTGTACCTGGAACAGGTGCTGTGCAGCTCTGATGAGTCAAAGTCACCTTGGGAATGCGGAGCCCATTTGAGAAATGTGTGTGACAGTGCTTTGTAAACTGTAGAGCCCTCTAACGAGGTTAAGGGCTTTTGGTTGCTATCATTATGGCCTGGGTGATCTGGTGGCCCCTGTTGGCTCTGGAGATCTTGGTCTGGCCCCCTGGGGTCTCTCGGTAGGCCTCCAGGGGCTGCAGATGCCAAAGGCATAACGGTTTATTCTGTTCTGTCAGACACCTCCGCAACGGGGCTGTCATCGCCCGCTGCAGCCAGCCCGAGATCAGCTGGTGGGGCTGGCGCAATGCTGACGATGAGTACTTAGTCACATCCATCGCCAAAGCCTGTGCCCTGGACCCAGGGACCAGGGCCCCTGGTGGCTCCCTCAGCACTGGGAATAGTGATGCCAGCGAGGCCTGTGACACTGACTTTGGTAAGGTGTGGCTGGTGCTGGGCCCTCGGGAAGTAGGTCCCCACCTTGGTCTCCTTGGCTCCTAGGGAATCCCAGTGAGGGTGGAAAGAAGATGACAACACGTAGGGTTTCTGGGTCCCTGCCTTTTGGGAGGTGGAGGGGTGTGAGGGGTCTCTGGCTGTGCGCTCCTTGGAAAGGGTGTGCCCCAGGGTAGGGTGAGCCTAGGCAGCTGACCCGACCAGGTCCTCACCCTGCTGTGTGTGTATTTAGATTCCTCCTTGACTGCGTGCTCTGGGGTGGAGAGCACAGCCGCCCCGCAGAAGCTGCTGATCCTGGATGCCCGATCCTACACGGCGGCTGTGGCCAACCGGGCCAAGGGTGGAGGCTGTGAATGCGAAGGTACCGCTGTGACCCCAGGGTCCGCAGCCAGCCTGTGCGCTGTTGGCTGTGGTGAGGAGGGGGCTGGGAGCAGCTCGTGTAGTGAGAAGAGCCAAACAAACCTGGCCTGGGATCAGGACTCTGCCACTTACTGGCTGGGACTATGCTTGAGTTGCTTCATCTAAGTTTTATTTTCTCATCTGTAATGTGGGGATAAAAACATGCCTGGCCACGTTGTTGGAAGATTGGAGGTTACATACATAAAGTTATTGGCACAGAGCAGCTACTGTTTGTTGAGGATTTACTATACATTGTCATGACTTGGCCATCATTTGTCATTAGTGTTATCATTACCACTATTAGTACATGGGACTTGAGCGTCCAGAGGTAAAAGGGTAATTGAGATTTTCAGAGTGTATTTAGTTGCCATCCCGGAGTGCTCTGCCCTGCCAGGGTGGCTTTGCCCACTGGGACTGCTCTTGTCCTGGATGCCTGTTTCCAGGACATTCTCTGATGGTCATACTCTCCTCTTCTGTGTCGGCAGAGTACTACCCCAACTGTGAGGTCATGTTCATGGGAATGGCCAACATCCATGCCATCCGGAACAGCTTCCAGTACCTCCGCGCTGTGTGTAGCCAGATGCCTGATCCCAGCAAGTAGGTGTTCCCTGCTCCGATTCCTTCATCCCTTGGCCAGTGCTGCTTGTTCTTGGAAGGTCTATGGGAAGATGGGAAGTGGGAGGTACAGGGGACCTGAGGGTCCGGGTGCAGTGGGCCAGTTCCAAGAACACTTCTACTGCTCAGCCAACGCTTCGGCACGGCCACAGGATACTGGGTTCCTTTTGTCTGGATTAGTTGTCATACTCAGAGAACACAGAGAACTTGGGGGAGGAAGTGGCAAAATGTGCATGTGACACTTCCCATCTCCTTCCGTTGATCCTGAGTCTCCTGTCGCCTCAGGTCCTGTCTTCCCTGCCCTCCTGCTAGATATCTCTTGGCAGAAAGGCCGCGGGCTGGCTGTGGGCTACAGCTCTCACTGGGGACTTTGTTAAGGTGTGGCTGCCCATGGGTGGTGGAGAGATGATTGTAGCCTCGGTTCCCTGAGTGACAGACTCGATCTCTGCTCCGGTGTAGCTGGTTGTCGGCTCTGGAGAGCACCAAATGGCTGCAGCACTTGTCGGTGATGCTGAAGGCGGCTGTGCTCGTGGCTAACACGGTAGACCGGGAAGGCCGGCCTGTGCTGGTGCACTGCTCAGACGGCTGGGACCGGACGCCGCAGATTGTAGCCCTGGCTAAGATACTGCTGGACTCGTATTACAGGACTTTGGAGGTATTGAGAGGGGTTGGGTGGGAAAGAGCCAAGGGAGAGGTGGCTGGGGAGGGTGCTGGGCCCACTGGATCTGTCTAGGGGATCTTTCAGTAGAGGACATTGGTGGCTTTGCGTCGTCTTGTAGGGTCAGGCCTGTTCCTCTCTGAAGCTGCCAGCTCCCTGCTTCGGGTGTCCCTGGGGAGGAGCACCGTAACCTTTCCAGAAAGGCCCTGCACTTAACCTCTCTCTTCTTTGCAGGGCTTCCAAGTGTTAGTTGAATCTGACTGGCTGGATTTTGGACACAAGTTTGGAGACCGCTGTGGCCACCAGGAGAATGCAGAGGACCAGAACGAGCAATGCCCTGTGTTCCTCCAGTGGCTCGATTCTGTTCATCAGCTGCTCAAGCAGTTCCCCTGCCTGTTCGAGTTCAACGAAGCATTCCTGGTAAGTCTGAAAGCCCGCGAGCAGGCTGGGGCTGGGGCTGGGGGCTGGCGGCCCGCGGCGCCCGGTACAAGCCGTCCTGGCCGTGCAGGTCAAGCTGGTGCAGCACACGTACTCCTGCCTGTACGGCACGTTCCTGGCCAACAACCCCTGTGAGCGAGAGAAGCGCAACATCTACAAGCGGACCTGCTCGGTGTGGGCCCTTCTGCGAGCGGGCAATAAGAACTTCCACAACTTCCTCTACACGCCGGGCTCAGAGGCGGTAAGTCCGGACCCCGACCCTGTCGGTGCGTCTGGGGGACCCGGAGGGAGAGCCGGCCGAGTCAGCGGGAAGGACGCAGGGCCAAAGGCTGAGAGGGAAGAGGGGCCTGAAACATCTCACAGAACACGCGTGTGGGGCTGCTCGCCTAGGTCCTGCACCCCGTGTGCCACGTCCGGGCCCTGCACCTCTGGACAGCTGTTTATTTGCCGGCGGCATCTCCGTGCACACTCGGGGAGGAGAACATGGACCTGTACCTCTCCCCGGTGGCTCAGAGCCAGGAGTTCTCTGGCCGCTCCCTGGACAGGTAAGAAGAGCCCTTCTCGTTCTCCTCTCTCTCCCCACCAGGAAGGCAGGAGCTGCTTTGTGTCTTGCCTAAATGCTGGTCTCTTTTTTTTATGGGATATTTTAAAGCAGTTTCTTGAGCCAGTTGAAGGAGAAACTTGGCCCAGGACTCATGGCTAGCTTAGAGTGCACTCTGTGTGTTTTCAAGGTCCCCTGGGAAGATAAGAGTGGTTACCTTTTTCCCAAGCTGCTGTCACCCTTCGTGACGTACCCAGGGCAGAGGAGAGCAGAACAGAAAGGACTATTTCAGGAAGGTTTGTGGGAATGGGCTTGACTTATGTTCACCGGGAAGGCGTGGGGAGCTTGCTGTCTTAGTCATAACCTTTGCTATGTCCAACAGGAGCTTCCAGAAGCACCTGGCTCTCAGGGAAATGGGTTCCCAGTAGGGGAATGGCCTTCACATTACTCCTCAGAATTGAAAGGGAGACATAAAAATGAAAGTCATCCTCTGGCTGAATATTTGGGGGGAAGTAGAATACAGATTGCTTAAATTATAAGAGCAATATCTGTTCTTTACTAAAAAACAAAGTCAAACGATATAAAAGTAGAAAATGACAGCCCTGCCTCCCTGAGCCTTGTCCCCACAGGTGTCCACTGTGGGCACTTTGGTGACTGCCCTTCCAGGTGTTTATCTCTACGTGGCACACTCATTTACAGATGTTTTTTTAAAACACAAAAAATGAATCATATTTTGCACACTGGTCTGCAAACTGTTTTCCACACTTTGTGTTAGGATGTCACCCCATGACAGCACATATAAAGCTGCGTTATTGTTTTCAGTGGCTGCATAATAGTCCAAAATTAGAGTATATCACGATTTATAAAACCAGCTTGCAACTGGTCGTTTAGGTGGTTTCCTTTTTTTTTTTTAAATCGTTACAGGGGTGTTTCAGTCAACATTCTCGTATGTGTATCTTTTAAAAAATTTTGGTGAAATACACACACTGTTTACCATCTAAGCCATTTTTAAGAGTACAGTTTAGTAGTATTACCTTACATGTATACTTTTGCATCTGTGCTAGTATTTCTGCCAGATAAATTCCTAGAAACGACCATGCTGGGTTCAGCGGATAGGTGCATTTCAAATTTTGATCTTTGTTTACTGGTGGAAGGTTTTTAAAATTAAAATATAACTTTTATAACTGGTTGAGTATTATAAAGGAAAACAAAACACCCAACTCCCTAAATGATTGGTTTTAGGATCTTTCGAGCTGAGCCCATTGTCAGGGGCCTATGGATAGGTTGCAGGAATTCTGAGAGTTTCTCCCTCCCCGAGTTAGCGGAATTTGGGTATAGGTTCATAAGTTTGCTTTTCCAGGGAGAGGTGCCGTAACTTTGTATCAGATTCTCGATAAGTTCTATGACCCATTTAATAACCATTGCTTTAAATCCGTATCTGATTTTTCAAATCAATAAATGTTTCTTAAATGCCTACAGATTGCCTAGTACTGCACTAGGTTTTATGGGCTGTACCAAAGACATAGATGATATTGATCCTATTTAAGATACTTTTAAAAAGCTGTAAGATGAGACATAGGACAACTAGAGAACAGTTCTAAGTTAGCATTTGAGTGAGTAAGAATGTGTGTAGTTCAAAGCTATTAGAGAACTAAGGAAGAAAGAGGTCATTTCGTGACTGTTTACTCTAGAGAAGTTTTCATGGAAGACCAGGCAGGAACCATGGCTTTTCTGTGTCCCTGGTATCTGGCTCGGGGCCTGGCACATAATAGGTGCTTTAGTAAATGCTTAAACAAACAAACAAATGGGTGGAATAAAGGGAGCTTGGCAACAAGGTTAGTGGAAAGGGGTCCAAAGGAATTGGATATGTGAGAGAGATTTAAAAAAAAAGAGAGAACAACAACCACCTCTCTGGAGCCGGCAGGGGTTGGGAAGGGGCTATTTTGAGGACTAAAAAGAAATAAACAAACGATAGCTCACTGAGGGCTTTAAACATTGAGGAGTTTATTTTGATTCAGCTGTTAATAGCAAGTCATTGTATGAAGTCATCGTGACCTGGGATTTTTGGAGAATTAATCAGTGAGCGGGGAAGTTGGAGGCACAGAGACCAGCCAGCACTGCTGAGATTCAGATATGAAGGGAGGAGTCCTGGGAAAGGAGAAAAAGTTAAATTCAGACATTGTGGAGAAGGCATTAGCAGTCTGGAGTTGACGGAGTGTTGGAGGGTAGAAGTTGAGAGTAAAGATGACAGTCAGGGGTAGGTCCCAGGGTTCCCAGCTCAGAAACCAGGAGGGTTATTAGTACCACCTATAGACACACAGAAGGTGGGAAGACGAGGCAGTTCAGGGAGAAAGAGGAGACACAGGCAGGCTGGGATTGAAATATTAGTTGGCAGCAAAGAGGGGGTGTGCTGTAGGCAGTTCAAGATGGAGTTGGATTTAGAGGAGAAATGGTACAAAGGTTTTAAAGGAAATGGTTTCTCTAACAGCTGACCTGATTTACCTTTGGTTCTACCTTTCCCTAGATCACAAATGTCTGGCTCTCTTTCTTTTTCCATTAAAGTCCAACACGTTCTTCTCTGCCCAGCCCAACCCTACCGTCTCTGTGTAACCTTCCCTGACCACGTTAGCTGGATGAGTGCTTTCATGGTTCCGTGCCCCTCAGGCGTTCCTGTCTCTGGCAGCTCTGTTAATTAGAGCTCTGGTGCACATGGGAATCAGCAGTGGAGGATGGCAGATTGTTGATACTATTGAATCTGGATAAAGAGTACATTGGAGTTCTTCATACTCTTCTCTCTACTTCTTTTGTATGTTTGAAAAGTTTGCAAAATAAAAAATAAAACAAAAAAAGAGAAAAGCTAAGAAGTTGCCAAGCTGAGATTCAAGCTCTGTCTGTGGGACTCCAGAGGCTGTAAACATAACCATAGTTACTGCCTTCCTGGGATTTGTTAACCACCCGCCACCCCCAATCAAACACAAAAATACTTTTTAAAAAGTATTAGTAAATTTCAAAAACCAAACACTGAAAAAAAATGAGCTGTACTGTAACTCTCCCTTTGAGGGATTTTTCTGTATGGGCTGCACTGACTGGGGCATCTGAAAAAGGGAGTCTAGTGAAGTCTGTTTCCTGGCAAATTTCCCCTCAAGTTTTTGTTGCCCGTGGCACTTCTGAACTGTGCTAAAAACCAGGGCAGTCATTCTTGAAAATGTCTGTCATCCATTTGGTGTGCGTGAAACTCTGAGAGCTGTGTACGAGGGCAAGTTGCCATGGTAACTTGGGATTTGGAGGAGCACATTGCCGCTAAGTGGTTGTAGAAAGCTGTGTTGGCTACTACTGTTATGGAGGGATAATTTATAATAAGGAATGTTGTAAAAATGAGGAGCTGTGAGTGTAGTCTTTAATAAGTTTGTGGTTGGTTGCCTATATTTTGAATCCTCATAGCATCTCTGCAAGGGAATTTATTGTCATTTTACAGAGGAGAAAAACCAAGTGTCTGAGGTTAAATCGCTAAGTTGTCACATAGCTAATCAGTGTCAGAGCCAGTATCGTCCAGCGTCAGAACCCACCTTTTTTCTGCCTTGCCATGTGCGACTAGGTTTGAGACCGAGATGTAGTCCTGGCGGGAACACTAGCTTTAGAAGGCATCAGCTTAGAAGGCAGTGGGAGCCACGGGAGTGGTTGAGATCGCCAGGGAGACCGTGTAGGGTGAGACTGATGAAGCTGAGGACAGAGCCCAGGTTCTTGAGAGCAGGGTTCATGTCCTGCACTTTCTGCAGAACAGACGTTTTCCAGTGACCATTTGTAATTATTTGTAATCTGAAATGTTTTTGTTTCCTGTGAATTCTGGCTTTGATTGCTTTGATGACTTGATTCTCTGTATTGGAGGGAGCTCCCATTCCCTGACTTGGTGATGCTGTGTTGTCATCCTAGATTACCTAAAACGAGATCTATGGATGATCTTCTTTCTGCCTGCGACACAAGCAGTCCCCTGACACGCACATCCAGTGACCCCAACCTGAATAACCACTGTCAGGAGGCCAGAGCGGGCCTGGAGGCCTGGCACGGCAATCCCGAGGGATCGGAGACCACCTTCGTGGAGTCCGGGGCAGGAGGTCCTCAGCAGACTGCAGGAGAAGTGGGTCTTCCTCCCTCTCAGCCCAGCAGCCAGAAAGACTACTTGAGCAATAAACCTTTCAAGAGTCACAAAAGCTGTTCCCCGAGTTACAAACTGCTTAATGCCGCCGCGCCCCAGGAAACGAGGAGCAACACCCCTGATCTGGAAATCAAAGTCCTGGAAGAGACGAAGGCAGCAGCTCCAGACCCGCCCACCCAGGATGAGCTGGGTAGGACTTTAGATGGCACACAGGAGCCACCCGAACCTTGTCCTGAGAAAGCAGCTGTCCGTGCGCTCTCTAAAGTCATTGCCAGCAAGGGTGGTGGAATCTGTGATTTTCCTGAGTCTTCCCAGGACTCCCTTCCAGGTGCCCCCCAGCAGGCCCAGCCAGACTCTGGGCTGGGTGTGCCCTCCAGGTGTGCCCCAGATCACAATCTGGGCACCCTTTGCAACCCACCGAGTGCTACCTGCCAAAATCCTCCAGACCCAAGTGCTGACTTTCTCAACCAAGACCCCCCAGGGTCTGTGGCAAGTATCTCCCACCTGGAAGAGCCCAGTTCTGTGCCAGATCTGATTCACGGGGAGGAAGACACGGGCAGGAGAGGGAGTAACAGGAATGGGCAGTTACTGGAAAACCTTCGCTTTGGGAAAGTACCGTTGGAATTGGCCCGAAAGCCAATTTCTCAGAGCCAGATTAGTGAGTTCTCTTTTTTAGGGTCCAACTGGGACAGCTTCCAAGGGATGGTGACCTCATTCCCGAGTGGGGAGACTACCCCTCGGCGGCTTCTTTCCTATGGCTGTTGTAGCAAGAGGTCGGGCAGTAAGCAGGTGCGCGCAACAGGGCCCTGCTTTGGGGGCCAGTGGGCTCAGAGAGAAGGGGTGAAGTCACCAATCTGTTCTAATCATTCCAATGGACACTGTACTGGTCCAGGAGGGAAAAACAACCGGATGTGGTTGTCCGGTCACCCCAAGCAGGGCTCCAGTATGAAGCCTGTTCCACTGAGCTGCCCTTCTCCAGTGCCTCCCGTCTACCTGGATGATGATGGACTGCCCTTTCCCACGGATGTGATCCAGCACAGGTTACGGCAGATTGAGGCAGGGTACAAGCAAGAGGTGGAGCAGCTACGTCGACAGGTGCGTGAGCTTCAGATGAGGCTGGATATCCGTCACTGCTGTGCCCCGCCAGCAGAGCCTCCCATGGACTATGAGGATGATTTCGTAAGTACTCACCTGTTGCCGTCCAGCGGCTCATTTAGCCTCTCCATCCAGCCTTCCATCCGTCCCACAGCCATCCTCTGGGCACTTGCTGTGTGCCGCTGAGTTAGGTGGTTGGGCTGTAGGATGAAAGTCCCTGCTCTCAAGGAGCTCACGGTCTGTTGGGAGAGACAGGCAAACAGCTAAGAGTGCTGTTCTTAAGCGTTCTGACTGAGGGAAGCATTAGGTGTTGGGGGCCAGCGTGGAGTGAAAGGTCAGGGAAGGCCCTCCTGAGAAGGTAAGGCTTGAGCTGAGTGCTGAAGAACGAGTCACTTTTGGCTCTGTGGATGCCATTCGCAGGAGTACGGAGGCAGCAGGTGCTCCTTGAATAAAGGGCTGTGTGTGCGTGCGTGTGCATGCGTGCACACTTGTGCTGGGCCTGTGCGGGAGGGAGCTGGGTGCTGCGGTGGGAGGTGATACTGGGAAATAGAAAGGGATTAGAAGGGTCCCCTTGAGTGCCCTTCTGGTATGGGTTCTACCTTCAGGGCAATAAAAGTTTGGCGAGTGAGTAACATGATTGCATTTGTATTTAAGAATACTATCCTAGCAATGGTGTGTCATGTGGATGAGGCGGTTGGAACCCAGGTTAGGAGGCCGGTTAAGAGGTTTTGGAATAAGGTGAGAGACGATGAGGACCATCTAGGCTTCGCTGTGTGGAGAGGGCTTGGGTTCTGGCACAGCGGTCCTTGGGGAGCTTCTAGGAACCAGCTCTCGGACAGTCCCACTTGCCTGCTGCCCACTTCTCTGCTGGTGGGATGGTCAGGGCTGACAGCTTCTTACTATTCAAGGTGACGATTTAGAACAGGGGTCAGCAAATTTGCTTGGTAAAGGGCCAGACAGTAAATGCTTTAGACTCAGTCTCTCTTGCAGCCACGAGGCTCTTTGTTGTAGCACAGAAGCAGCCATAGGTAATGTGTAAATTAATTGAGTGTGGCTGTCTTCTAATAAAACTTGACTACAGAAACAGGCCGTGGGCCAGACTTGGCATGTGGGCCATAGTTTGCGAAGTCCTGGTTTGAATGTAACAGGGGAAGTACTCTCTCCATACTGTGATACAGCATGTTGGTTAAGAGCACGGGTCTGAAGCCAGAATGCTAGGTCCAAATCCCAGGTTTACTACCCATCAGCTCTTAACTCTCTCTGTGGCTTAGTTTCCTTCTTTGTAAAACGGGGATAATAATAGCATATACATCATAAGACTGTTGTGAGGAACTAAGTAATTTCATGCATGTCATGCACTTAGCGCCTGACACTTGGTCAACAGTAAATGTGATGATGAACGTTTTGAGGAGCAGTGATGTCTTTGCATTCTCTTCAGACGTGTTTGAAGGAGTCAGATGACAGTGATACAGAAGATTTTGGCTCTGATCACAGTGAAGACTGCCTTTCGGAAGCAAGCTGGGAACCTGTTGATAAGAAAGAGACTGAGGTATGTCCAGACTAATTGTGTGGTGGGTACTTAGGCAAGCTGGTGAGTTCTCATATTTCTCAGAGATGAGTGTCGTGCTGTCCCCAGCTGAGTCTCTCTGGAGGCAAGCAGTGGCCGCCTAAGCCTTGTCATTGTCTTCTGGGCTGCTTTCCTTATTGCAGTGTTGGTCTTCCACTTTGTTGACTAGGACCTGGAACTTTTCCTTGTGCCTTCTGTTAGGTGACTCGCTGGGTTCCAGACCATATGGCATCACATTGCTATAACTGTGACTGTGAATTCTGGTTGGCCAAACGCAGACACCATTGCAGGTAAGATGTTTTACAGGATTCAGTATGGCTCATGAAGCCATCCTGAGGTACACTGACATGAACTAAACTGAATTAATCTGAAACTGGAGACATCTTTATAGGAACAAGTTTTGTTTTCTCCCAACTTTTCTCTTTATTTACTCATGTAAGGCCTTTTTAGAGCATCGTTCATTCTCAGTGTATGGGCATTTCTGATGAACTCTTCCCTCTCTGTGCTTTGGCAGAAATTGTGGGAATGTATTTTGTGCTGGCTGCTGCCACCTGAAGTTGCCCATTCCTGATCAACAACTCTATGACCCAGTTCTCGTCTGTAACTCGTGTTACGAACATATCCAAGTATCTCGGGCCAGGGAACTCATGAGCCAACACCTGAAGAAACCCATTGCTACGGCTTCCAGTTGAATGCCAGAGGAGACGACCTGTCCAATTTTAGCAGGTTTGAAGGGAGGATCTGCTTCAGGTGTAGTTTTGAAGGTTCCTTGGTGTGGCTCATGAAATCACAGAGCTCAAAGATACAGTCTTGCGAAATCCTCCTTGGTACCATGAGACTGGAGCAGAGGAATTCCAATTTGGCAGGAGGTCCTCTACTGGTGAGACCCTCCCCTTGGGGTAATGGTCCTGATCCAGACCCAGAGTCTGGAAGCTTAACGTTGAGTTGGTGACTCCAGTTTCTTTCTCCGGGGTCACAAGATGATGATTTCATAGATACTGCCTGGTGATGCGTGCCCCAAACAGCAATAGAAAGTCATATGTTTAACCAAACTCCAAGTGATAACCAGATCCATCTCTCCTCCACCTTGAAAAAAGCAGATTATAGTATCTAAGATAGGAATTTCTATCCTATTTGAGAGGAATTATACCCTGTACCTCTGTGCTCTGTGTCTGTGCATGAAGGCTCAGTCTTTAGAGGCACTCCCTCTCGTTGCATTAGTTCTGTCTTTCTGTGGAGTTTGGTTTAAAGACTGGTTCATCAAGTGGAGATTTTGCTGTATTTTTCACTTGGCTCATCAGCCAGCATCAGTGAATATTCAGTTTAGGGGGACAGTTCTAGGGAGTGAGTCACTTTTGGGGAGCAGAGGAAGACTCTGCTGATGTTCAGTCCTGGCAAAAATCAGTTATTTTTGAGCTGTGAAAGCAGTAGTCTTTGTCACTCAGTGGCAGCTCTTGAGGTAGCACTGTGAAGAATGAGAAGGGAAACATAGAAATGATCCTTGTGAAATATTTGCTGATTGTGCCCGACCCTTTGCGCCTTGACTTTTCCTAGTTGTCCTGGTGCTAACACAGGAGCTACACCTTGATCCTCTCCTGGCATGAAAATAAAACAATGTTTTTTGGGGGGTTGTTGTTCCATTGCCCACTTCCCTCATGTCGTCTTTCCCTTGGCTGCTGCCTCCTCTGGGTCACACTGCTTCTTATCCTGAACACTTGACACCTTGAGGGTAGAATTTAGCGTTTGGTTTTTACCTCCTAGAATATGCTGTTTGGTATGTGAGGGTTTCAGTACAAATGCTGCTGTCTATTTCTGTGCACTTAACAATGGAACCCAAACAGAAGAGAATAAAGCCTTGATACCAAAATTGGGAGAGAAAATGTGTCCATTTGGACCAAACGTTGTGGGTTTTTTTTTTTTTTCCATCTTACTATGTACCAGTGGCACTTAACCAAAAGATACAATGATATAGCCATGTACTGTGTTTGGGACAGATACAGTCTCCTTGATCTATAATGCATCCCCTAGGATTTCCTTGTGCATTGTCGTTAATTCGTTGGTGTATAAAAGGTAAATTACACTGAGGCTTAGCCTGTTTTAAAACTATGGTAGCTGTCTAACTGCTACTTGTTCATGTTGCTTCCTAGGAAAAAAATTTTCACTCGAAAATAACTAGGATCTGCATTTAGAACAAGAATTGTTACTTGTCCCGACCTTTCCTTCAGCCCTACAGAGAAGCATCTGTGCTTTTATACTTGCCATGGACGTAACCTAAAAAGTTTTGGCGTATTTAGGTCAGTCTATCAGAACTTTTTTTTTTCTCGTTTAAATGGAGTTGAATAATGGAGATTTTGTGTGTGGGAAATTCATGAGATCATTGAAAAAGTAACAGACTCTTCCTTGTCTCTGATACGTAGAATTCTAAGCATTTTCTCAGTCATTAAAATTTACTGCCAGTTGTGAGTGGCTTTTTAATTAACTTTCATTGCACTTCACTCTGCCCATTTTCAGGGGAGTCAGATTGGCAACATTTGAGGAGACTGTATCTTGTCTACTTTGTGTGGCTGTTTTGAGGGACTGTCCTATCAGTGAACATACTGCATGGCCTTGGAGAGAGACTCTGGGCTCTCGGCTCAGATGTATTCATCAAATACTCCTTTCAGAGCTCTTGTGGGTGTAAGTGACATGATGTGGCCAAAAATCCAAACTGTGCAGTTGCGTTGTGACAAACATGCAATGTGCTGTAAAAACTCAATACAATTTAAATAAAATCTCTATATTAGTGCTGCTTTGTTGGGTCTTTTTCTTCATTTTAATTTCTAAGAAAACTTAATACTCATTTTTTTCTTTAACCATGAGAAAGGACTAAAACATATACCCCTTCCTCCCAACCATTTCCATTTTTTAAAATGGCCCTCTCTTTTTAACAGCACAGCTCCTGTTCGGTTTTTATTTATTGATCAGATAGGGATTTATCCTTACGGATACTGCAGAATTCTGTCCCACCTCATGTGCGGTTTATTTCTCTTTAATGCCTAAAATTTCACCAGCTGGTTGATCAGGCGCAGGGGATTGTACTGCTTTCCTCCTGATTCTCCGCTCACAGGCACCTCAGTTCTCCTTCCACCTTGAGTAAACTGTCTTAAGCAAAACATTGGCTGAAAAGAGTATATTTCAAAAAAACATGAAATGCTACTATCTAAAAGGTGAATTTGTTTACGCAGGACATTATCCCCATCACCATTTTTATTTGGAGAGACGATTATCTGTTAGTACTAAGATCACGGAGTTGGGCCCTTTGTTCTCGAGCATGACCGGTTTTGCATCGCCCACTGCACACTATGAATTCCAAAGCCCCACGACCCCGCCGGCCACGGTGAAATTAAACACACGGATCTTAGTATTCCGCGGCGGACACCGGGCTGATCTCTGCGGGACGTAACGCTATCTGGTGGCCGCAATTCCCGGCCCGGCCCGCGGGTGGAGGACTCCGAGAGAGCGCGACCTTACCCCGCCGCGTCCCCGCCGCC